AGAGATACCTTCTGGTTGGTGCCAGTTTCCACTCTGAATTGGGAATGGGGGAAGGATGCTTACAGACCACATACTATTTAAGATCTGAGACCATACGAACAAAAATTTTTACAGAGTTCACACCTTGCAGAAAAATCCCTTACATCTGCCTATCCCACCCAGCATTGTGTTGCGGAGGCTACCAGTTGTGCCCCCAGTGCCACTTCCCCACATCTTCCATGGACAAGTCTTGTCTAGTTGTGTGGCTGCATTTCTGCAAACTGAGGGCTACATTTCTCAGCTTCTCTTCCAGTAGATGTGGCCATGTGTCAAGGCTCTGGTCCATGAGGTGCCCAGGGTCCACCCTTCACCATCGTTGTCATGGTTGCTGGATTGTGAAGGACCTGCCTAGAAACATCTAGGTGACTCTGTAACAACAGGAGCTCTCTGTTTGAATAAATGGCTTTGGTAGAAAGGGGCAGCCCCAGGAGCTCACTGGCAGGTGTCAGCTTTTTCTTCCACTGAACTAACCTAGACTAGCTGAGCCAGCTTTTTGACAATCTACTGAAAAGTGTCTTTTTTTTCAAGTTGGGCTTCCAGGGGCATTTCCTTTCAGTTGAATTATTTAAGGTTTTGTTATTCATGTTAGCATAGACATAACTATTTCAGAACAAAGACTTGAAAGATGGCAGCAAGTCACACTGTCCAATGTTGAGCCACATGGACATGCTTTGTGTGGTATATAGAGAGGAGTTTGTAGTACCCCGGGATTTGGGTTTTGCGATAAAGACACTTCCTAATGATAGACGTTAAAAAGTTTCTTACTGTAAAACACTGAGATGGCAATTGGAATAAGGATGAATATATTACTGAGCACTAGGACAAATGTTATTAGAAAAAGGATTCCGAGGAGCAAATGTGTAATGTGCGGTTCAGTTTGAGCATTGACATTACATCACATTTGGTCTCATCACACTATTAACCACTTTGAATTTTTCAATAATAAAAGTGAAAAATGTCTTAAAATTACTGTGCTTATCATAGGTGGTAACGTGACCCTCACACCCCATCACTTCATCCCAAGTCTGAAGTCTTTGGTAAACTGGCACTGCTTTGGCTCAGGTCTCATCATGTCTTGATGGATTACTGCAATAATGGCCCCTTTCCCCATAACTAATGTCTTTTTCTTCTTCCTCTTCCCTGTTCCAGTTTATTCTCCACACCATTGAATTTTCTCTCTGCAATGCAAAGCTGATCATGTTACTCCTCTCTATCTAAAACTTTTATTAGTTCCCATCACTTACAGGATCATTCTGAAGAAGACCCAGCTGTATCTGCTTTTCCCTCTGCCCAAAATCTCTTTCTTTTCTCTGCTTGGGTAATTTCTATTTATTTTTCAAAACCCAGTCAGTCTGTCATGTCCTCTGTGGTGCTTTCTGTTTCCTGGAGACAACACTAATCATTCCCTCCTCTTTGTTACTGTGCACATACCTCGTTTTGCATCTATCACACTACAGAATCTAGGATAATTAGTTACTTACAGAACTATCTCCTAGGGGGAAATAATAATAATAATAATAATAATAATAATAATGCCCCCCCACACACACTTTGTCTCTGTGTACTAGCACTAAGCACAATGTTGGAACATAGTACATCCTCAATAAATGTTTTGTCAAACTAAGCATAATATTTTAAGAATTAGTAGCATTCATTTGCAAACACAAGTCAATGGATTACTTCTTTTTTTCCCTCCAGTATTTAGTCAGCCTGGTGTATTGGGAACAGCATGCCACAAACCAGATATGGGAACTGTTTTTGATGTGCTGTAGTTCCCCATCCCTAAAGGCAGGGGAGGGGATCTCCCCTGTTATGGATTCTCTCCTTGTGTTATGGATTGAATTGTGTTTCCCCAAAAGTTCTTATGGTGAAGTTCCTAAAATATGACTTTATTTGGGGGCAATATCTTTACAGACATAATCAAGTTAAAATGAGGTCATTAGGGTAATGTTATGGGCTGAATTGTGTTGCCCAAAATTCATATCTTAAAACCCTAGCCCTCAGTACCTCAGAATGTGACTGTATTTGGAGATTGGGTCTCAAAAGGGGTGGTTAAGTATAAATGAGGCCATTAGGGTGGGCCCAAATTTAATCTTACTAGTGTTCTTATAAGAAGAGGAATCTGGACGTGGATGTGTAAGCACAGAGGAAAGACCGTGTGAAGACATAGCAAGAAGGCGGCCATCTAGAAGCCAAGAGAGGGGCCTCAGAAAGAAAAAAAACAAAAACAAAAACCTTGATGATACCTTGATCTTGGACTTCTAGCCTCTAGAATTGTGAGAAAATAAATTTATGTTATTTAAGCTCCCCTGTCTGTGATATTTTGTTATAGAAATATAATATGTTATAGAAATCCAATATGACTGATGTCCTTATAAGAAGGGGAGATTAAGACAGAAATATGCATGGAGGAAAGACAATGAAAAGAGACATAAGAAGATAGCCACCTATAAGCCAAGGAGACAGTTCTGCAACAGATCCTTCCCTAACGGCCCTCGGAAGGAACCAGCTGTGCCAACACCTTGATCTTGGACTTCCAGCCTCCAGACTGTGAGCCAACACATTCCTATTGTTGAGGCCACCAGTTGGCGGTACATTGTTATGGCAGCCCTAGCAAACTCATACACCTTCACCTTTGAAACCTTTTGTTAGCAATTCTTATTAATGTACATGCCAACTGAATTTGAATATCAACTCTAGAAAGACCTTCTAGAGTAGGTCTAGAAGATCACCCTTTACATTTTACAAGTGAGAAAACAGAGCCCCATAAAAGTGAAATGGCTGCCCCGTGCTGGGTATTATCAATGACTGAGGTGAGAGCTTGACAGGGCTTTTCCTATGGTGCCTTGTTTCTGCTTCACCTGTGTCTCTACTGCTTCCAGGAGCCTGCTTCATACTCAACAAACCTGGTTCAGGCAAGTGCATACTTGGTCCTCAAAGTAGCTGAGATAGGTAAGAGCATCTTCACGTTTCTTTGGAGTATCCTGAGTGAAGTGCCCAAGCAAAAGCTTTACTGCTTGCTAAAATTTTGGAATGCACTAAAGAAATTCCTGTTAAACCACATGGAGAAGTATGAAGAGTTATTCCCCTTTTATGAGCGAGGCCAGGATAAAACACTTAGTGCCCTGCCTTAACTCTAAGACGGTTGCTATGACCAGAGGGCTATGCAGAATTAAGAGCTGCTGCTTCCTCAGCTCCAAGAAAAAACAACAACTAATTTTTACTGTGATCTATAAGGCATTTTCAGTGTATTATCTCTTCCACTAGTACCTATGAGGATTCCATGGTCAGACAACTCAACTCTGCCACTTGCTCTGTGTGATCTTTTTATATTTTTATTTCCTCAACTGTAAAGTGGGGATACCAACACTACTTGGTTGCTGTGAGGATTAAGTGAGATGCTACATAATTGGCATATACTAAGCAATGAAGATCCATCAGTTATTATTTTAGAGAAAGAATCTAAGTCTTAGGTTAAGAAACTTATCTTTGTAAGTAAAAAGGGCAGGATTGGATCTAGGACCTCTAAGGTCATATTCTGTAAACTCTAAACTACGCAACCCCACTTTCTTGGTCCCACCAGCACATTCTGAATGACTATGCGCAGGGAGAGTGGTCTGCTCTGGGGGACAGCCTCTGAATGTAGTTTGTGTACAAATGGGCAAGCAGCCAGACACATTTAGTAAGTGGACAGATGACTGATTATGCCATAAATGGCTGGGGAGGCAGCACGAGGAGGGTTTGGTTTCCCAAGGAAATCTCAGATGCAGACTGGAGGCCAGGGGAGATTTTCCCAGCAGTTCATCTCGAATACCTCAGGGGAGTCTCTGACTGGAGATGCTATGCTAAAGGGCATAAACCGGCTGGTTTGCCTTGTTTCCCCATCGCTGGAAACCCTTCCACATGGACACCAAGTCTACTGTGGGCAGGAGTATCTTCGGAGACCCCCAGTGGGTGCACAGAGGAGAATATTAGGGCATCAGTAATGCCTTGCAAGGCCAGCACCCCAGCCCTCTGTCCCTGAGACAGGAACACAGAATATGCTGGTGAAGAGAGTCAGTGTTTATCTTGTTTCCAACTTCCAGTGGTTAGTGGGCATATTTATTATTCAGCCCCCTAATCCTTTTGAAAACAGAATAATGTTGCTGTTCTTTCCAGTGAAAAAGCTATCAGAAAACCTAGGTTTAGGTGCTGACTCTACCATTTATTAGTTGAAGAAATTTGAGAAAGTTAGCTAGATGCTGTAAAACTTCAAGTTCCCCATCTGCAAATGAGGATGATGCTGGCAAGTGAGGATCAAAAGAGATTGTGTAATTTAAAGTGCTTTGCCAACAATAAAGTGCTATATCACTTATCATTAGTCCCCTACTTCCCAGTTCAGGTCTTAGTCAGAGAGCTGACTCCTTGGGTCCTCTTACCTGCTTTGGGACCCACAGTGAATCCCCTCAAAGTGGCCTTTCATTATATCCTGCTTTTTGTAATTGAGCAAATGTTTTATGTCTTATCTTTACAACACATTGCTGGAGAGCAGATTACATGTCATATCTGTCTTCAATTTCCTACAGCCTTGGTGATCAGTAAATACTTACTGATGGTGTAGAACTGTCCCACCATTAGTGGAGCAGGGATGTGAGGCAACCTGCATTCCCTCACCCAACCACCCCTGCTGATTGGAACCAAGGCAAGAGGAGAGGAGAAGGATCATGACTTGGAGACCTGAGCTCTGGGTCTGCCTCCGTCATTTCTCATTGGTTTCCTCAGCTGTGAATTGAGCATAATAATGCGACCTTGGTCATTATGAGCAGAGAGCACTCCCTGAATACACATGGGAGGCTTTTATAAACTATAGAGAAAATGCAGTGTTGCTACCAAGGTAAAGTCCATGGTTGTAGAAGCAGAGTGATTGGTTCAGGTGGGGACTGAGCCCATATCATTAATGTGGCACACTAGCCACTACTCACCTGGGGAATATGACCCGCATGTGGACACTGGTTCGAAGGTCTGGAAATGGCTACTGATTGGGTTGCTCGCAATGCAGATGTAGATATTGTCAGCATCCTGAGGGCCGAGAGTAAGTTGCAGAATGTGGGAGTCATTTGCTGTACTCAGTGGGTAGTTGTCTGACTTTTTGCTCCAGCTGTAAGCCACGTGGTCCCCCTGTTTCACCATGCAGGCCAGCGTCAAGTTGCAGTTTCCATTCTCCTGGGTCCAGTTCAACACCTTAATTTCCGGAGTGGTTACCTGCTCTATCATGAGGGGGAGGAAGGAAGCCATCACTGAAATAAACCCACTGAAATTCTGATTTGACCTTTTTGTTAGAAAAAATGCAGCCTAGTGGCATTTGCAAGTGTGTCCTCAAGTATGGGTCTGCAAGTGCGATTTACTTCTAGTAGGGACCCACTTTTCTGCACCTTCCCTCTCTGTCCACATACTTCTTTCCAGGACCACCTTGGGATAAAATAGAGGAGAAAAAAATGTTTTTGTTCCCTCCTACCAACACAGTGTTAGGGATCCGCTTGTCTTCCCTGATGTCCCTGATCTAGGTTGTTCTCCTACATTCTATCTATGGAGTTTGCTGTCAACAAATTCCCCTAAGTTTAACTATCATTGGCTAAAGTATTACCTCTGAGACCTAAAAAAATGACTTTTTAATGGTAGAATTTCAGTCTGTGTGTGTGTGTGTGTGTGTGTGTGTGTGTCCAGTGCTTTAGAATGTCTGAAGTAGGGATAGCCACAGGCCTCATTGATTTATCTCACTCTAATGCCATGAAATAAGCATAGGAAAGGAAAATGTTTTCTTATTTAGCAACTACTATAGGACAGGCATAGTGCTGGAATTTAACATTCACCACATTCTTCAATCTTCTTAAGAACTTTCTTAACAACCCTAGTTATAATTATTCCCATTTTACAGATGAGGAAACGGAGTCCCAGAGAAGTGGAGTACCTTACATAATGTTACTCAGCTTATAGGCAGCCAAGCTGAGATCTGAATCCAGGTGCGTCTGACTCAAAAATCCACCCTTTTCCTTTGACTTGAGAAGAATAGCATGGTTGCAGACACCATGTATTCCAAGGTAAGAATTTGATCGCAAAATGCGACAAGATGTCAGTCACAAAGGCAGTGTGAACTGTTCTGGAATACGCAGGATGTATTGTCTCCCTGCTTACGGCATCCCGTGCCAGGACCACCATGGGAGTGATCAGGATTCCCTGGTACCTGCTGGAGGGCTGTAGAAAGTCTGCATACACTCTTCGGAGGAAAGGGAATCTAGGGGCAGGGGAAGGATTGCTGTCTCTCAAAAAAGGTACCTGAGAATTTCAAAGATATGCTGAGGAATGCGTGGCGCTCCCTGTCTCATTCTCAGAGATCAGGGAGCCACTTTGAAGAAGCAGGACATGGTGATCAGGACCTCTGGGAATTCAAGGGAATCTCTGAGCCTGAGAGATACAAACTGGGTACCCTTAAGAGGGGCTGGCATTAAAAGGGTTCAATAGGGTATATTCCTAGAAGCGGGGTCACTGGGTCAAATGGAAGTTCCATTTTTAATTTTTTGAGGTAACACCATATTGTTTCCCATAGTGGCTGCACCAGTCTGCATTCCCACCAGCAGTGCACTAGAGTCCCTCCCAGAAACACGCAAGTAGGGTACAGACTGACAACCCTCAGAAGAAGGGGCGGTGAGGGGTGGGAAGAGATAAATCACAGAACTTATATGCATGTATGCATAACCAGTGGACATGGACAACAAAGCCGGGGATGGGGCGGGGTGGGGGAGGGGATGGGGAGGAGGGTGTCCATGGGGTAAAAAAGGAGTAACAAAAATAAAATTTAAAAAATAAAAAATAAATTTTAAAAAAAAGGGTCAATAAAGCACTGGTCTTGGATTCAGGTGAACCTAGGTTCTAGTTTAATTCTGCAGCTAAGCAACTTTATCACCAGAGCTTTTGTTTAAATGAGAAAAAATTGTCTCCTCCCCCAGGAAGAGGCAGTACTGCACCAGGACACGGGGCTTGGAGAGGGCGCATGGGCTGTTTCCGCTCTCCTCCCAGGACTCCTAGAGTCGTGAAACGGAGATGTGTGAAAGCATGCATAGGACCCTTCTCTGAATTTCATACCTCACCTAGGAAAAGGAGGTGGGGCTTGATCAGTGGTATTCAAACTGTTAAAAATCAGAAAAAAACTAACAGCTTTTCGCAAACAAAATCTTACTTGCAGATTGAGACTCTTGGGGATCCAGGCCCTCTTGCCCACAGGCAGCGGTGCGCCTTTCCTTTGCAAAATAGGGGTAAGGGTGATTAGTAGTAATCAACTACCACCAATGTGCAATTTGGCCAAAAAGTTTTGTGAACCTCTAACACTCCTCCTAAAGTATAGTTTAAATACCCCCAGACTAGGTGATCTTTCAAGTTGCTCCCAATTCTGAATACTCTCTGCTTCTGAAAGAGGCCTTAGTTCTTGGGCGAGGGGCCATCTTGGCCCTCCAGTGTGAAGAATCAACCATTATTACCATAGAGCTTCAGCTGCAGGCAAAAGTTCTGGACTGAATCATTTTCCTCCATGGTCAACGTGTACTGGCCCTCATGCTCCTTTTTGCTTTCTGCAATCTCCAGGTTCAAGTTTTCCAGATAAAACATATAGCCACCTTCACTATAGCGTGGAATGCCCCCTTCCGGCAGATCAAGAGACACAATTTTCTTGTTCTTTTGGGATCCATTTCCCGGTGATTTTGTCATTGTGACGAAGATATGGATGCTTTTATTCGTACTCTTACTTATCCCTTCAGATGTCAGAGGCAGCAGTACTTTGCTTCCCAACTGCCCAGGGATGGTTGGACAATTCATCAAGCCCTCACCTGTGGGAGGAAGAAAAAAACAGTCCCTTATTATGGGGGCCTTTGAGAATCATATGGTGGTCAGGATTTCTGGGAATGCAAGGGAACTTCTGAGCCTAAGAGATACAAACTGGGTATCATCAAGAGGGACTGGCATTAAAAAGGCTCAATAAAGCACTGGCCTTGGAGTCAGATGAACCAAGTTCTAGTTTAATTCTGCAGCTAAGCAACTTTATAACCAGAGCTTTTGTTTAAATGAGAAAAAGGTGCCTCTTCTCCTAGGAAGATGCAATGCTCTGCCAGGGCAGGGGGCTTGGAGAGTGGTGTGTGGGTCAGGAATGACTGACTAGAGGCTGTCCCTCTTTCTCTCGGACCATCCCTAGGCTTTCTAGGCCTTAGTAGACTATAAGGACTGTCAAAAGGATCCTACTCTAGTCACAATATTCCAATGAAAACTTAAAAAATTTATTATTATTTTTGTACATTTATCTTTAGACAGAATGGAAGGAAGGTAGAGAGAAACACATTGATTGGTTGCCACCCGCGCAACCCCAACAGGGACAAGGGACAAACCACAACCGAGGTACGTGCCCTTGGTTGGAATCGAACCCGGGTCTCTTTGGTCCGCGGGCCGATGTTCTAACCGCTGAGCAAACTGGCCAGGGCTCCAGTGGAAATTTTAAAGTTACTTATTATAGAGCTCTATAGACTAACTAAGACTCTGGGTTTCTTTGATCTGGGAGGGAATGCTATCAACTGAGATTTATAGTTAAGTAACCTAAAACATAGAGAAGTTAAACAACTTCCCTGAAGTCACATAACTAGTAACTGAACTAGAATCCAGGTCTGGTAATTCCTCGACCAGACTTTTCACCACTATATACTATGAAGAATGGAGAGCAACTGAATCACTGAAAGTGATACTGAGCTTGTGAGTACAGGAGACCAAGGTTACAAGAGCATCATTTCAGAAAACAAGGAAAGAGAAAAGTCTGAGGAATGTGGATTCAGGGAAGTTTTGAGTCCAGGGTTCAAACTAGCCCTCCAAAAACACTTGTAAGATAGTTAATAATGTTGAGGGTAAGAAAGTATGTTTTGTTTTTTCAAAAAAGTGGAGCCAACAACTGTAAAACCCCAAAACCTTTTAAACCAATACGAGGGATCCTCCTGCTGACTATTTAACACCTTCTTCTCTCCTCAAACCCACAACCTCAGCTGATAGCCCTGCTTCCTGTTTCAATGAAGAAGTAGAAGAAACGTAAAAGAGAGCTTCCATGAATTATCAACACCAAATCAATCTACCTAGTTAGATGGATTGTGTATGCTCCCATTTAAGGCTAGCTTCCTCCACATTTCACTCACCCACTTCCAGGCTTTGCTCCTACAATTGCTCCACTCCTTGCAGCATCAGCTTTATTATGGTTTCATACGTTGTGGGTTATTTTCATTACTACCCAACATACCAGTGTCTAATTTTATCCATTTAAAAAACCCTCCCCTTATCCCAGGTCTATCCCCAGACACCTCCCTCATTTCTCTATTTTTCATGATCACAAACTCCTTGTATATGTATTTCTATTTTCTGCCTCTATTTCTTGTACCCACTCTGAACAGGCATTCTTCTCTACAACTTACTGGGGTCACTCTTGTCAAGGTCAGTGCATATTCTATAATATGAAGTCAATTCTCCATGCCCATTTGCCTTCTCAGGAGCACCTGACATAGGACATCACTCCCTGTTGGAAGCACTGTCTTTATTTGGCCACTGGAACACCGCAGTCTCCTGATTTTCTTTCTATTTTATTGGCTGCTCCTTCTTAGTCTTCTTGACTAGAACCTTCTGCTCTTGAAAACCTTTTAAGTATTGGAGCATCCCATGACTTATACCCAGTTTTCTTCTCTCTTCCAGCCACACTCACTCAGTTGCACAGTTCGATGTATTTCTGGAATGTGTATAGAGATACATCTCGCACCCAAGCCCTTCACTGTACTTCTCAGTATTTGGAAGTCTAAAGGACATCTCTAACATAGCAAACACACTTTTGATTCCATAGCCCTGTCTTCAATCAACTTCACAATTCCCCCAAATTATTAGGCCAAAACACTGGAAGCATCTTGACTCTTCTTTCGCGCACTCCACCTTCAGTCTATCAGAAAATCCTGCTGGTTCTGCCTTCAGAATGCGTTTGGCATCGCAGCACTTTGAACCTCATTTGTTTCTACCATCATCGTCACATTTCTGGGCACTGCCATTATCTTCCAATGAATCTCCTGCATCCATACAATGGACATTTAAAACTTTTAAAACTATGTCCGGTTTTGTTTCTACTGCCTTTAAACTTCCAGGGTTTTCTAACACCCACAGAATAACAATCTATAGTCCTTGTTCTGGCTTCAAAGACTCTGTATAGCCCAGACCCTGGGTTCCAACTCCATCTTTTTCCTCCTCTCTCTGCTCTCTGCACTGTGGATATATTGACTCTGGCTGTTTCTTTACTCAAGAATATATCTAGTTCGGAACTTTTCCACTTCTCTCTCTCTCTCTTGCTTTTCCTTCCTTCCCACTCTCTCAGAATTCTTCTTTTGTATATCTGGATAGCTCATTCCCTCACTTTATTTTAGGTTTCTGCCAAAAAATTTATCTTCTCTGTGAGACCTGCTCTGACCGTCCTGTCTAAAATAGCATCCCCTTCTTATACTTATCACTGTCTGATGTTACATTGCATATTCATTTTATTTTTGTCTTCTCCACTAGAATGCAAACTCCTCAAGAGGAAAATTTTAGTTTGCTCATTGTTCTTTCCCTAGGACTTACAACAGTGGTTGGTACAGAGTAGGCTTTTAATAAGTATCTATTCAATTTAAAAATACCAAAAGCCATATTACCTGATGAAAATTTCCCTTATTTTGCTTTGCCCAATATATAACTGATCTTAATAAGCTAATGTTTGTAAAAGAAGGAGCCCTTGACTCAAAGAGAGCATAGATTGTTCTAGTTGATAAGAAAGCCAGAAGAGAAAAATAAAACTTTTGCTTAAGTAATGCAACCACCTAGAAAATACACAATTGACTTGTGATTAAGATGGGTTGTTAGAAACTTGGAGAAACTGGCCAAAATGTTCTTGATACCCAAATATCCTGAAATCCTATAAAGGACCCAGCTAATATCACACTAGAGATTCAGAGACACAGAAAGGAGGGCACGGTCTGCCTGGGCTCAGAGTGGCTGAGACTCATTATCGTGAAGGAAAAGTGAGAAAGACGGCTAGGCATTTGTTTTTATAAAATATTGCTACTATATCAACTCTGAAAACAAAGTGCTTTTCTTGTTGCTTAATTGATTAGATGAGGAATGCTGGTACTGGTGTTTTTACGAAGATACTTTGGGAAGCACATTTCAACCACACTAACGAATGCCTGATCGTCCAGATAATGTGGTAGATACAGTACCTCAAGAGAGTAACCTCTTGCGTCCTGAACTTAAACTTCTACATATAAAGGGATGACAGAAAATTAGAACCATATGTGCAAGAAGAACCCCCTGAAATTGTGTACAAAAAGTTGTACAGAGAAGCATTCGGACATTTTTCTGGGAACACATCCACAAATGTCACCTCTCAAAGAGGTCTGAGGTTCAAAACAAGATTAAAAATCACTATCATAGTCTATATTTTTTGACCAATTTTGATATGGAGAGAAAAGAAATAGAAACCATAACCCTCCCCCATCCCATACATCTCCCATGTGCTCCTACCCCTACCTAATCCAACACCCCTAGACCATGATTGTGTTTAAAATGCAGAATTGGTGGAGAGTGGGGAGAAGAAGGGACATAGGATGAGAGAGGGAGTAGCAAAAAAAATCAAAGAAAAAATAAAGAAAGTAGGAGGGGAAGAGGAAAAGAAAAAAGAGGGGGCCGATGAAAAAAACATGCTGAGTGGTTTGTGCACACTCAGTCATGGGAAGTGGAATCAAAACTTGGTTAGGAAGGGACCCTCACAACCACATAAGAATGGCAAGGTAACAACTCTGTATGTGTGAGTGGCTGGGGTACTTGAAACCATTACCTATGCATGAGTGGAAAAACTAGTGGGGACTTCAAAGAGGTTCATAAAACCCTTCAAGTGGAGTCCCCACTCCTGAAACATGCTGCTGCCTGATGAGTGTTTTCCAGTGAGTCTGTGATTCAGTCACTCCTGTTTACTAAAAGGGTCTGGAAGGAACATTTGTAGCTGTTACCACTAACTCACTTTCCTTCAAGGGTGATACTACTGAGAAAGCAGAGTGAGTCACATGGCCATGGATAGTTTCCTGAAATCAGTAGCATCTAGCCAACCCTTTCACATGATGGGATTCTACCTAATGATAGCAGCACTGCCCTCCCTACCCCCATACGTCCACATGTGCTTATAGCATCCATCTTCCAACAGTACTTCTTTCAGGAGAGAAGAGGCAAGAATTATAAAGCCTCAGTGTTCTATGGTAAATCTAAGCCCAGAAAGAAAGGATAAGCTGTCTAACGCTGCTTTTTAAACTATAGTCCCACCAGCTACCCTCCTGTTCCCATTCCTTGATGCTGCTGGGTCTTTCTGTCTTAGAGGATTTGTGCTTACCATTCCCCAGCCTGAACACTTGTTGCTGCCCTTTTTTTTTTTTGCCTGGCTAGCACCTTCCACCCTGCATGGCTTTGCCTCTGCCTCTGCCCTCCCATCCCCCACCCACAGTTTCTCAGCACTCTGCATCTCTTCTTCATATCACTCATCATGCTTTTAATTCTGGATCAATGCCTGTCATCTTCACCTGATCACAGCCTTGCAAGAAAAGAGACTGTTACTGTTGCATTCACTGCTGTGATCCTAACACTCGCATGGGACATAGTCAAAACTCAATAAACCCTTGTGTCCTGAGAGAATGAAACCGCATAAATGACAACTCAGAGTCTAAATTTTCCTCTTTCCAAATCAGAATATACTCTACTTCATCTTTATAACATCCTTAAGAGATATCATACAGAGGGAAATGATGGGGACCCTTCTCCCCACCTGCTGGGTGAGGAGACAGAAGTGCCTTAGCTATGAACCTTAGTTTCAGGCACAACAGACCATTTATCCTTTTCTCTGAGTACTTGCAACACTTCACTTCTATAGGTGTGCTCTCATCTTGAGAACATTTCAAGTCCTGTAAAAATCCAACCTTCCAAATCTATAGATTTGGAAGGACATGAAAGAAACAGATAACAGTAGTTGCCTCCAGCGAGAGGTATGGAAGGGAAATTTGCCTCCATTTTATACCCTTTTGTATTGTTTAAGTTTTATAGACGTACATGTGATACCCTTTCAATAAACAAACTAGTTCACAAAAACATGAAATTGAAAACTTACATGATGAAAGACATTTCTATCTCCTTTCCAAATTCTAGATCAAATGCTTCTATATGCTCTCTACTTCATTCTACGACTTTATCAACTTCTCTCATCTTTCGAAGATTCTTTTAATACATTTTTTTTTAAACCTGAGGGCTTCAGACCCAAGCTTTTTTTTTAAATCCTCACCCAAGGATATTTTCCCATGTATCTTCAGATAGAGTGGGTAAGGAGGAGAGAGAGAGAGAGAAACATTGATATGAAAGAAACACATCGACTGGTTGTCTCCCACATGACCCCAACCAGGGCTGGGGACAAAACCGCAACTGAGGTACATGCCCTTGACAGGAATTGAACCCTTGACTCTTTGGTCTGTGGCCCATGCTCTTATCAGTGAGCCAAACCTGCCGGGGCTGAACATTCTTATCCTTTGGTTCATCTCATTTCAATGAAAATCAACCCATAGGCTTCAATTATAGATAGCACATTTTAACTTTTCCAATGGGACCAGGATACAAAATTTAGCATCCCCCCCCCCCCCCAACATATGCTCATCCAGTTTTATTCATTGAGGTCTCCGGAGTTAGGCTGTATGACCATAGAGAAACTGTGTTAAACTGCTCTGTGCCTCTCTTTCTTCTTTTATAAAATTATAACAGTAACAATAATTAAAACATATCTAATAGGGTTGGCTTGAGAATTAAATGACTAATACCCATGAAGCACTTAGAACAGTGCCTGGGATGTACGCTATACATATTATCATTACTTATTCAACAAATATTTGTGGAAAGCTCTCAGGTACCAGACATCTGGGTCAGATTCTGGGCAGAGGCTGTGTTCATTTTGCTTTCCCCCAAAGCTCTCACAGTTCTTGCCATATCATGTGCGCTAATTACACAGTTGGCGAATGGGATGATCTAAGGTTAATAATCTATGACAAAACAAATAGCCCTGATGTGTTGACTTCTAGTCCAGCTCTGGAGACAGAGATGGTGGCAGCATTATTAAAGCTTCTGAGAAATAAAAGTGCCCAGATTTTAAATATTGGGATAAAATGGGCCCAAGTTTATTATATACACATGGTTGGACCAAGTCTGGAACCCACACGCTTACTTGTCCTTCACCTCTCCTGCATGTGTGTAAAGGAGGTGGAGAGGACATATGTGAAGAAATAAAAAATACCATTGGGGTAGATTCATCAGTTGAAGCAAATGTGCCACTCTGGTGGGGGATGCTGATAAAAGGGGAAGCTATACATGTGTGGGTAGGGGAAAATCTCTGTACCTCCCCCTCAGTTTTGCTGTGAACCCACAAGTACTCTAAATAAAGTCTATTTTAAAAAATACAATTGGGGAAATGGAGAATTCACTTTGTTGAGGGAAGGAACATGTGAAATTTTCTATATTTACAATTCTGACCGGGAATCGGAGGATGTGCTGAGTAGAGATGGAAAGGGGAGAAGGTACTGATTTTATAAGAACTGGGCATCTTGGTTGGGTAAGTCTGTCATGGTTGACCTACCCCACATGCAAAACATTTATATTTGGATTTCATTGGGGTTTCACAAAAGGGTGTGTGTATTTAAAAATAAAAACACTGAAAAAATTTTGTGCTTATTTTAGAGATGTAATGCAAGGAAGGGAGCCTCTGCTGATTGGGTAGACACGCCCTATGAGGCTGGACTATTGCTAACCAGTGACTTCCACAGTCTTCAACAGAACAGCTGTCAAAAGCACCTGAGACTCAATGGGCCAGGAGGCAAGCAAGCACAGAGATGAAAAAGTTCATCACACTGTTCAACCCCACCACTCCCGATAGTCACTAAGAGGTATTCTGAAAATGGAGGAGTCAAAAAATAAGGTGTACCCAGGAAGGCCTGGCTCTAACTGTGACGGCTTACAGTGATACCTTTTGGCTTTCTAAACCTTGAGTTCAATTATCCTTCTCCTGAAATTGGGCAGCGAGAGCCATGGGTCTGCCTGATTCTGAAGAAAAGTGGAGCCAGGAAGGGCTTTTTTATCTGAGAGTCTAGAAGAAGATAGATCTCATGTGCAGCCCCTCTGACATCCCTGGCACATCCCCGGAACTTTCCTGGAAAAGTCCATGATGGATTTACAGTCTTGAAAACCCCAAGCACAAAACACCTGGAGCGTCAGGATTTCTCCCCTCCCAACTGCCACTGTTGTTCCAGGCTGCCCCCACATGCTCACCAACATCCCAAGGCATTTAAGTTGATATGAGATTCTCGCCCCAACAACAAGTAACCCAAAAGTTCACTTCTTGCCTGGCTTTTTCTTTCTCAAATACCTTTTTTCATAGCCCTGACGCTACCAAACAAACATCAGATTAACTCCAGAAGACAACAACAGTAGGAGCAGAGCCCAGCTCCAAACACTCTGTTGTGTGACAGGCTTTACGCTGAAGCTGCCATGACCCTGAAGGTTCCCCATTTGCATTTCCCATTTACTGTAACTGGCCCTGGGCTCCAGAAATCCTGGCCTCTCCCCTCTTGCTGCCTTGGAACCTCCTGTTCTAGAAAAGTAGCCACCGGCCACAACCACACTGTAGCCACTGTCTGTTCTCAACAGAATGCTTGACATTGTCACTTCCACCCTGTCTTCCCACTACAGCCCTTCCTTGTTGTTGGATCTTGTTTCTTCCAGGGCAAGGGTATGGGAGTCATTTTCCCCCAGAGCTCCATCTCCACATCTCAGTCTCTTAGCCGGGGTCTTTGCCAGAAGGATACCTACGCAAAACCAACCACTCAACCAAGACGGCCAGAGCCTGTCAACCTGAGAGACTTGTCTAGAATGTGACCTGTGCCTGTGGCTCAGAGTTCCTGATTCCCTTGAAAATGAGGATCGGTGGGGCTGTGCCTTGGAACCCAGGGCAGAGGAACTCACAATGTCCCTTCCTCTTTGAAAGAGGCAGGTGAAACTCAGTCAGTCTCTAAGGCAGAGACAGCTGAACCCCAGCTACTAGCCCCTGCGTATTCTCTCAATTCTTGGGTCTCGCTGACTCTGTGGCAAGTAATCAAAGGACCCAAATCCTCAAACACATGAACACTCACCTGTCTTGCAGCTCCGTTCAAAAGCCAGGGAAAGAAACAGCAGGAAGTTCCAGGAGAGAAGACCCTTGGGATGCATCAGCCTTGAAGAGAAGGAGGGAGCTTGTCGCGAGGAGCCTGGCAGCTTCTTGTAAATGAAAGAGCAGAGGCAAATTTTATCAAGCAGCCCTGCCTCTGCTGCCTAGTTTATGCACCAGGAACCAGCAGGCTTCCTGTCTTACGGGACTTTTTGTATCTTGAGAATTGCTCATCTCCTTTCAGACCTTAAATCACTTTGCTGTTCCCAAGAAGTTCGAGTCAGGCGCTTAGACCAATAGAACCGGGAAGGGAGCTGTGTGGTCACCTTAGCCAAACCCCAGCTGTGGGCAGAAATGTGCTCCCCTTCTTAGCTGTCTCCAGGAAAGGGGCACCAAGTTGTCTGAGCAGTTCCATCTGGTAACTCATTTTAGAGTTCAAAGAAAAGATGAAGTTTTGTCAGATCACCCCCAAATTTGGATTAGTTAGTCAAAGTGGAACTTGGATGACTGAACTTTAATGAGTTAATGGACCTTTTATATCGAATTTGTTCCATAATTTCAGAGAACATCTTTACATACAGTCAGGTCCTGATACCAAAATCACAGAGATGGGTGGGCAAGTGCAGATCAGTGGTCAGAAACCCAGCTTCCCTGCTGGATACAACATGGTAGGATTTCGTGAGTTCTGTGGTGCATTTGGAGAGACTGCCTTTATTTTCAAGCTTGTATCTAAATTTTTGTTGAGGAGGAGGAACTAGAATTAACAGAAAAAAAAATCCATGTGCTTTTCCATGAGTTATACTATAAGAATGAAACAATGTTGTTACTGGTGTTCACAAGGAGACTTTAGAAGACCAGGCTAGTATTTTTAAAGTCCATTTTAACAGGTCAAATTCACTCTCCAATAGGCCTCCCTAAGGAGATCAGGGTAATAAGAGAAATAAAAACTTTCTTAGGTAAAATAAAATTGAGCAAATTTGTTGCCAATAGTTTTGTCTTGCAAGAAATGTTAAAAGAAGTTTTTTAGGGAGAAAGAAAATAATATAAGCCAGAAACTTAGATCTACATAAACAAATGCAAAGCGTCAGAGAAGGAATAAGTGAAAGTAAAATAAAAAACTTTTATTTATTTTACTTTCGCCCTGGCCAGTTTGGCTCAGCGGTTGGAGCGTCAGCCTGTGGACCAGAGAGTCCCGGGTTCAGTTCCCGCTAGGGGCATATAAAAAAAATATATATATATATATATATATATATATATATATGTATATTTATTTTACTTTCAATTGATAAAACAGATGACATATTGTTTAAAATAAAAGCAATAATGTATTCAATTATGTGTGCTTATGTATATATCATATATATGTATATATATATGTGTGTGTGCTTATATGTGCTTGTATATAAGTGAAATGTATAATAGCAATGATATAAGAGACAAGAGGAGGAATTAGAATTTTTTATTATATAAATAAATTTTTTATTAAAAATTTTTAAATTTTTTTATTAAGTATTCACACTACCCATGAAGCAATACGTGAGCTTGAATTAGTTGTAAATGCATATCGCAAAATCTAAAGTAACCACTAAAAAAGCAAAAAAAAAGAAAGTGTATGAAATATACAAGAAAGAAAAGAGAAGAAAATTATATAAAGTGCTCAATTAAAACCACTAAAGGCAGAAAAAGAAAGAAAGGCAATAATAGCAACAAAGAGTAAAGGTAACAAATAGAAAATAATAACAAACATAATAAATATTAATTCAACTATATCATTAATCACTTTGAATGTCAGTGGTCTATCAGGTGTGGGGAACCATTTTTTTTCTACCAACGGTCATTTGGATATTTATAACATCATTCATGGGCCATACAAAATTATCAGCTTAAAAATTAGCCTGCTATAATCGGTCAGGCTAATTTGGTGAGGCCTGTGATGTTAGCTGGTAGTGATCTCATGGGCCTTATATGGCCCACAGGCCAGATGTTCCCCACCCCTGGAGGAATAAATCAATTAAAAGACAGAGATTGTTAGAGTGGATTAAAAAGAAGACTCAACTATATGTCGTCAACAAGAAACACACTTTAAGAGTAAAGACACATATAGATTAAAAGTGAATGGGGACTTCTGGTCAAGATGGTGGCATAGGTAAACACATTATAGCTTCCTCCCACAACTGCATTAAAATTATAATTAAACTACAGAACAACCATCATTCAGAACTTCCTGACATCAAGCTGAAGGGAAATCCTACAACTATGAAATTAAATAAGAAGCCACATTGAGACTGGTAGGAGGGGTGCAAGAACAGGCTGGCTGGTCCCACATCCACATGTGGTGGGTAAAATCAAGAGGGACACTTCAGCTGGGAAGGTCCTGCCTGAGGAGTGAGGGGTCCCCGTCCCACACCAGGCGCCCAGTTCAGGGTTCCAGTGCCAGGAAGAGAAGTGCCTATCACTTCTGGCTGGAAAAACCGGCAGGAACTGAAGCTGAGGGAGGCTGAGGCTTCTAGAGTCCCAGGTAGTTCCTCTTAAAGGGCCCATACACAGACTTACTTGGACTCACTCCTTCTGGGCTCCAACTTTTATTTTTTTATTAATTAATTTTTGTTAGATATGTTTCTCCTTTTTCCCCCACTGATTCCCCCTCCCCTCACTCCCTGCCCTGTCCCCAGCTTTGTTGTCCACATCCACTGTTCATGCATACATGCATATAAGTTCTGTGGTTTATCTCTCCCCCACCACCCCCTCTTCTGGGGATTGTCAGTCTGTACCCCACTTCCATGTCTCTGGGACTACCCCATTCCTCAGACTGTTATGCTCATTATATTCCACAAATAAGTGAGATCATATGATACTTGTCTTTCTCTGTTTGGCTTGTTTCACTTAGGATGATACTTTCCAGGTCGTTCCATGTAGTCTCAAAAGATAAGAGATCTTTCTTTCTTACAGCTGCATAGTACTCCATTGTGTATATGTACCACTGCTTTTTTATCCATTTGTCTACTGATGGACACTTGGGCTGTTTCCAGATCTTAGCTATTGTAAATAGTGCTGTTACAAACATGGGGGTACATATATTCTTTGTGATTGATGTTTCAGGCTTCTTAGGGTATATTCCTAGAAGTGGGATCACTGGGTCAAATGGCAATTCAATTTTTAATTTTTTGAGGTAACACCATATTGTTTTCCATAGTGTCTGCACCAGTCTGCATTCCCACCAGCAGTGTACTAGAGTCCCCTTTTCTCCACGCCCTCGCCAACACTTGTTTGATGATTTGTTGATGGCGGCCTTTCTGAGAGGTGTGAGGTGATACCTCATTGTTGTTTTAATTTGCATCTCTTTGATGATTAGTGATGATGAGCATGTCTTCATATGTCTCTTAGCCATTTGTATGTCCTGTTTGGAGAGGTGTCTATTTAGTTCCTATGCCCATTTTTAAATTGGGTTCTTTGTCTTCCTTTTGTGGAGTTGTATGAGCACTCTATATATATTGGAAATTAACCCCTTATCTGCTATATCATTGGCAATGATGCTCTCCCATACAGTGGGTAGCCTTTTCGTTTTTATGATTGTATCGTTCGCTGTGCAGAAGCTTTTTAGTTTGATGTAGTCCCATGTGTTCATTTTCTCCTTTGTTTCTATTGCCTTAGGTGATGTATCAGTGAAAATTCTGCTGCATATGATGTCTGAAATTTTGTTGCCTACAGTTTCTTCTAGGATTTTTATGGTTTCATGGGGCACATGTAAGTCTTTTATCCATTTTGAATTTATTCTTGTGTAGGGTGTAAGTTGATGGTCTAGTTTTTTTTCTGCATGTAGCTGTCCAATTTTCCCAGCACCATGTATTAAAGAGGCTGTCCTTACTCCACTGTATGCTCTTGCCACCTTTGTCAAATATTAATTGAGCATATTGTCTTGGGTCCATTTCTGGGTTCTCTGTTCTGTTCTGTCTATATGCCTGTTCTTGTGCCAGTACCAGGCTGTTTTGATTACAGTGGCTTTGTAGCATAACCTGAAATCTGGTAATGTGATCCCTCCAACTTTGTTCTTCTTTTTCAAGATTGCTGTGGCTTTTCAAGGTCTTTTTGGTTCCATATAAACTTTTGAAGTACTTGTTCTAATTCTGTGGAGTATGCCGTTGGAATTTTGATGGGGATTGCGTTGAATCTATAGATTGCTTTGGGTAATATGGACATTTTAATGATGTTAATTCTTCCAATCCATGAACAGGGTATGTGCTTCCACTTTTTTATATCTTCCTCTATTTCTTTTTTCAATGACCAGTAGTTTTCTGCGAATAGGTCCTTTATTTCTTTGGTTAAGTTTATTCCTAGGTATCTTAATTTTTTTGCCACAATGGTAAATGGGATTGTTTTCTTAGTTTCTCTTTCTGTGAATTCATCATTGGTGTATAAGAATGCCATCGATTTCTTGACATTAATTTTGTATCCTGCTACTTTGCCAAATTCATTTATTAAGTGTAGTAAATTTTTGATGGAGTCTTTGGGGTTTTCTACGTATAGTATCATGTCATCTGCAAATAATGAGAGTTTCACTTTCTCCTTTCCAATTTGGATCCCTTTTATTTTTTCTTCCTGTCTTATTGCTGTGGTTAAGACTTACCGTACTATGTTAAATAAGAGTGGCGAAGGTGGGCATCCCTGTCTTGTTCCTGTTCTTAAGGGAAATGCTTTTAGTTTTTGCCCATTGAGTATGATGATGGCTGTAGGTCTTTCATATATGGACTTTATTATGTCTAGATATGATCCCTTTATTCCCACATTGCTGAGCAGTTTTTATCAGAAATGGATGCTGGATTTTGTTGAAGGCTTTTTCGGCATCGATTGATATGATCATGTGGTTTTTATTCTTTATTTTATTTATGTGGTGTACCATGTTTATTGATTTGCGAATATTGTACCAGCCTTCCATCCCTGGGATGAATCCCACTTGGTCATGGTGGATAATTTTTTTGGTGTACTGCTGGATCCGATTTGCTAGTATTTTGTTCAGGATTTTGGCATCTATGTTATCAGGGATATTGGCCTGTGGTTTTCTTTCTTTGTAGTGTCTTTTTCTGGTTTTGGAATTAGAATTATCCTGGCTTCATAAAACGAGTTTGGAAGTCTTCCCTCTTCTTGAATTTTTAGAAATAGTTTGAGGAGAATGGGTGTTAGTTCTTCTCTGAATGTTCGGTAAAACTCCCCCGTGAAGCCATCCGGGCCTGGGCTTTTGTTTGCTGGGAGAGTCTTGATTGCATCTTCAATTTCT